CCGACTAACTGGTCGCTCCGATACAACTGTCTCACAACTGTTTCGGACGGCGGATCATTTCTCATTGCCGCCCCTCCTTCCTCCATCCCTTCTAAACCCCCGCGCCGTGATCAGCTGTGAGTGCGTCCTCTTCCCCTCGTTGTACACAATCCCACATCTCTGTCGATTCGTTCACCACCCAGATGAGAACGCGAACACCAGAGCGAAGACTGACGGCGTCCCAGACGAGGATGTTCCACACCACAGGGCTGTCGACCCCGACGCAGACGTATCGTCAGCCATACTCTCAGTCCCCCTCGACACCATTATCGGCACATCACGCCCACTACATGCCCCACCACTCTCCCTACGGCGCAATGGATACCTCCTACGGCCCCTCGACCCCTATCACGCCCGATGTCGCCTCCTTCCCTCCATCTGCCAGCACCATGCCCCGGGCCTATGTCTCTCCTCACCTCGCCGCCCCGTTCGAGCATCTCGCCCTTGCGGGGACTCCCGCCTCCACCTCGTCGGAGTATCGAGTCCACCCGTACGAGTGTTCGCCCTTGGAAGGCGGTCAAGGCTCGGTGCTGTCGGTCAAGTGCGAGGTCAACTTTCCGCCCTCTCCCCCTACCTCGACGTTCGATGGGTCGGCCTCGGGCCAAGTCTCTGGCATGCCCCCGGGACGAGCGCTCCGCCTTGTAATGGGCTCGTATCCCGTCCCCACGGCAGTGCAGGTGGTTCCGGAGCAGAGGGCGCATTCTCCCGGGTCGCAGTTCTGTCAGCTCAGCGCAACTGCGCCGTCATGGGGAGCGCCGGGCGTCGCGCAGATGGCGAGGGGAAACAGGGTGCCAATGTACATCCAGGTGCTTTCGGAGGCGAACCTGGTTCTGAACTCGGTCCTCGTCGGTGACTTTACCTACAACAACAGTGCTTCGGGATCAAGGCGTGAGTCGCGCATACTGGGTTGGACCTGTATACTGACTAGGATCAGCGGGAATCGGCTACCCTGCCTACTCTTCGCCTACGACGCCCATCAAGCGGGAAATGGACCAGATCGGCGGCAGATCGGCGCCCGGTCAAGCGGCACATCGCCGCGGAGTGTCGGGAGGGTACAAGTACGAGTCGCAGGATGGCTCTCTCGCCGGGCAATATCACACACCCGTGATGCAGTGTGAGTGATTTAAAGTCGTGGCGACGTCGCTGAAGCCACCGCAGCCGACAACTATGCCTCCTATCCCAACCCCTACGGCCCGCCAGCGTTGAACCAAGGCATGCCTCCGGCCCAGGCTTCGTATCCCGGATCTCAACCCAACCTCCAACGAGCGACGCAGATCTCGCAGCCGATGCCCGCGGCGAGTTCATACTCCGTGTCTAGCAGCTCGAAGGCGCTGCTGGAACTGCACGGGGATCTTAACAACATGGCAAAGGGATGGTACGTCGGTTCGGTCTCGGATCGCGGGGCCTGTCTCGGCTGACCCGCTCCAGGTCGACAGAGGAGTGGTCCGCTCGCCGTCGATTGGTGCAGTTTTGGCGTAAGCAGGAAGGCACCAAGATCACCGCCGCGTTCGGCCCCATCCCGCAGAGCGAGTACTCGAGCCATCAGAACAGCATCATCATCTCGTGCATCTTCCGAGAGGACAACAATTGCTGCTACGTCACCTCGGTCGACGCGATCTACCTGCTCGAGGCGCTCGTGGGGAATCGATTCACGGTCGAGGAGAAGAACAGGATCCGGCGCAACCTCGAAGGGTTCCGACCGATCACGGTGTCCAAGACCAAGCAGGGCAGCGAGGAGTTCTTCAAGCTGATCATGGGGTTCCCGAACCCCAAGCCGAGAAACATTGAAAAGGACGTCAAGGTGTTTCCATGGGACATCCTGGGTCAGGCGTTGAGGAAGATCATTGGGAAATACGTGAGTGGGAATGAGGCGGCTTGCAACCGCGCACCCGCGCTGACGAGTCAGTCTGCGACGTACGCTGGACTCAGCACCACTCCCACACCGCCGCAGCAAGGCTTCGCGCCCTTGCCTGTCCCCGCGTACCCGACCATGGCGGATACCACTCCTGCGCCACTCCAGCCTCTGCTCGACCCGTTCGAATTGCCCGACACCACTCCGAACCTCACGCACCATTCAAGCTCCGATTCGAGCACCTACTCCGCATCATCGACCATCTACCCGTCCACGCAACCCACGTCGCACCAGCCCGACACCCCTCATCTACCCACGTCGAGCTCAGGCTCGCACTCGCATTCCCACTCGGCCTCGCCTACATCAGCGACCTTCCAGCCCACGTCGCAATCCGACAAGCTTGCCAGCGAGTACGTCAACATGTCGCCGACGCACATCAGCTCGTACTCGTCCGTCCCGGGGACGTTCTGGGCGACCTCGACCGGCGTCGACCAGACTCTCGCTTCTCCACCGACAAGCGGAGGGTTCGCGCCGATCGGCGGACCGCTCAACTACACCGATCAAGCGCACCAGCTACCGCACGTGCACCAAACCATCTCGCGGGAGCCGAGCTCCAACGATCTGCGCGTGCTGTACCCGGGTCTCGCACAGTAGCGCCGAAGTCGGGCCCGCTTGTCTCGATCCGTCCGCCCAGGCATGTCTTTGGTCTTTCCCGTCTATATTTCGAGTCATCCATATACACTCACTCACCCAGCATCATCATTTACCCCGTCAGCGTAGCTCTTGCCCGGGACTTTTCGTGACATCGTGGACAATAGGTAGAAGCAAGGTAGACAAGAGTCGTACCAGTGTTGTGCCTACAGTGTTATAGAAGCGGTGATACAATGCAACGCAATCAGCAGCCTCCCCTCGTGCATATGCACGTTCAGCCGTCGTGTGCCCGACTGAGCCTGGCTAGTCGCATGAAATGGTCAAGAGTATGTGTGAAGTCCACAGCCATGTCGATCGTGCAACGCCGACGCCACAGGGCCGATCTCAATGCCGTCACGCGCCGTGCCGTCCCGTCAGGCAGGACGCGTTTGACTTTTGCCCCGACATGACCTTTGGTTAGTCCGGCCGCCGCTGCCTCGATCCATGTCGCTTTTCACCGCACGCCGTACGAACGACGCGTGGAGCACGTAGGAAGGGGAATGTTCGCTGTTGGACGCGCGGTGGTGCGGGGGATCGACTCTGGTCGGGTTTTAGAGCGGGTCCGCGTTCTGGCCTGACGTCGGTAGTGGTGCTGTTTCTCGACGCACTCCTGTTTCGCGTGTATCGTTGTTTCTCAAACTCCACCCGTCGTCAACTCGCATCTTGAATCGTCTGCATACCCACCTTGCCGCTCGCTACGACCCACACGACCCACACTCATCACCCCGAATCGGCCCTTCCCGGACCGCGCCTCACGCCTCACGCCTATTCGCCGAGCGAGACATCCCAACCGCACTAAGCGTCAACGATCTCACCACACGAAAACGGGTACACAAGCGTCACCTGACCATACCGACGAGCGGACTCGCTGGCTCCCCTCATCATCTCGCTGCATTCCACGTCTCTGCATCTCCGATAGCATCCAGATCATCATGCATCTCGCCAGCCCAATCGTCCTCGCCGCTGTCGCGGTCGCTCCCGTCTTGGCGGCCTCGGTGCCCAATCTCGTCAAGATCCGCAGAGCAGGAGGGAGCGTTGGCAATGTGTTGGCCGGAGCTCCAAGTGAGTCACTAGATCTTTCAACTCGTGCACATGTCGACTCGGCTGACGGCTCAGTCACCAACATCACCGTCACCCCCAGCAACGTCGTGCAGTGCTCCACCGCCAGTATCTCATGGACCGGCGCGGCTGTGAGTGGCCACCTCTTGATGCACTCGCTCCCACGCAACGTCTCTGCTCCGAGTTGACTTTGCGCCCCGCTGACCCGGCAGGACCCCGTGGACCTCTCCATAGGAATCGGCGGCTTCTACGTCGGCACCACCTGGATCACCACCCTCTCTTCCATCTCTGGCGGCTCGGCAACATGGCTCGTCGACCAGCCAGCCGGCGAGGACCTCATCTTTGAGATCAAAGACGCGAACGGACAAGTCGGATACACGCAGAATGTTCAGGTCGCGTCGAGCGGTGACTCGTCGTGCTTGTCCAGCGCGAGTAGCTCCTCCAGCTGGAGCAGCGCATCCGCGACGGCAGATGGATCGGGGAGTAGCAGCGCAGTCGATGCCAGCGCGACTCCTGACGCGGCGTGTAAGTGTCGCGTGGACAGAGGCATGACCAAGCTGACCCAATTCAGCTGCCTCCCCCGCAGTCTCATCCTCCACCTCCCACTCGTGAGTCCTATTCTCAATCCACGCCGAACCTCACTGACCTCTCAGCTCCTCCCGCTCCTCTCGCTCCTCATCCACATCCGCTTCGGCCTCCTCTACTTCATCCGCCGCCCCAACACTCTCCCTTTCCTCCTCCTCCTCCTCCGCCGCCTCCTCCTCCTCGGCATCCTCGAGCTCTGGCTCCTCGGCTACTCTCGCCGCGGCAGCTTCCACGGGCAAAACCAGCGCAGCGCGCAGGGACATCGCCGCTGGCGGCGTGGGGGCGGTGGTGGGTTTGGCAATGATGTCCGCCCTGATTGGTGGAGCGCTCTGAGAGCGAGCACCACACGTCGCGGAACGGTCTTTCTCGCCATGGACATTATCGAGTCTGGAACTTTGCATGTATTCCATGAGCCGGGCGTTGAGACACCTCGTACTCGCGTCCTTGCCAGTGTCCCGGCTGCAAGGCGTCGTCCAATCGAACCCTGTAGACGGAGGGAGGTTTTTGTCACAATGCTTCCCAAGGCAGAAAGGGGTTTTTGCGAGCAAATGTGGCGCAATTCATGTGGCGGAGGGATGTGGCGGAACCATCTCGGTTTCCCGTGATTCCTTTCAACTCGCTCAATTCCCCCATTTACTGATCATCGTCAACACTTCCAACGACTCTGTGTCTTACCCGCCTCCAACCAGCAATGGATGTGAGGGCCTGCAAGCCCCAATCGTCGAAGGTGACAGTGGTCCGGATGGAGTGCAAAGGCTTGGGCCACCAGTTGGGAGCGTCTTTGCCCGAGTGGTTAAGGGGGCAGATTCAAGCTTATTGAAAGTTTTCTCGATAATGAGATCCCTGCTGCGAAAGCGCAAGAGTTCGAATCTCTTAGGACGCACTTTTTGTTCCAAATTTTGCATGCATGAGTTGTCTGGAGCGTTTCCTGCGACCAGAATGTCATGAAACCCCAAAAGAGCCCATTCTTGGGTGGACGACTGCATCCGCCACAAAACTGCCACACTGAATAATATTCGCCACGAATCCGCCATCCCCAAAAAAATGGCACCGTATTGGGCCGCAAAATGCCCATGCGCTTTCGTGATAGGATCTTGATATGAGCATCGAGCAGAGCGATCATGAAAGACGAGAGAAGAGACCGCTCTAATGATATACGGAAGTCCCTGGTACTTGGGACGAAAATGTTCTGGCTAATGGACGAACGCGGGGAACTCTATACACAAATGGAGTGCCGACTCCCGACTATGCCTTTCGCTTCCTGGAATTGCGCCCAGGCAGATGGTGTCCCCTCGGAGTGTGCCTCGCGCCAGTCTTGTCCAATGCTCGCTGTGGACCGGCCTATGGAGATCAGTTGAAGCGGTCCAAGGCTGTGCTCAGTAGAACTCGCCTCGTTCGGCATGTTGGGCGTAGCGTGACGAGCGGCCTGCACGACGTCGTCGAGCTTCGGGTCGGTCATCTTGGCACGCGCCTTGGATGTCGCGTTGTCCGTTCCGCCGGCCATCGTAGTAGTCGTCTGCCCCGCCTCATCCCCAGCCACCTCTCCCTCTTCCTCGGAGTCTGTGACCCATGAATCGGTGAATCGGTCGTCCTCTCCGGCATCGACAGCGGGAGCTCGGCGTTGGAGCGCGAGTCCTTGCGAAAGCGGAAGTGGTTGTCGGTCGGTTGAGATTTTTGACCTGAGATCGAGAATTGCCTTGACGTGGGGATCATCTAGAGCGTTGTCCGGCACCTTGAGGTTCTCCCAGCCTGGTCCTCCCTTGAAGAGGATGCCAAATGCGCCGAGGTCAGGAGTCCAGGTGGCGAAAGCCCGCGTCTCCCGCTTGGCCTCGCACTCTTCCTCCGTTAAGACCCGCCTTTGCCCTCCTCCCTCGACCGGCTCCGTTCTGGGCGTGGCTTCGCCCATCACCTCGTCCTCCTTTGCCATGTTCATCTCAGACGGGTTCCCTGCTTTGGCGTCCATGGACAGCGGCTGCTTCGTCTTGAAGGGTAGCGGGAAAGGTGAGCGGGAGTGCCAGGGGGGGGGGGGGGGGCAAGAAGACTCCGTCGGGAGTGACGGGGAGGGCGAGAGAGCGAGGCGGAGTGGAGTATGGAGTTCTTCGTGGGGTGTCGCGGCTTGTGGCTCTGGGTGGGCGAGGTGCGGGTGGATAGTAAGGGTGGCTGGTGAAGAGGTTGGACTTCAGTAGATTGTGGTGTCACCAACGATCAGGTCAGCCAACATGCAGTTCCACATCGACATCCTCTCAAAGGACCCCCTCTCAAAATGAAAACACGACCTGCACGTGCACGTCCACCGATACACATCTGCCTGTATAGTTGCATCACTGTATGAAGAGAAGAGTTCAACCGGCTCCAAGTCGATCACGCCGCCTTGGCAGCCTCCATACCCGCCCAAGCTGCTCTCCCTTCCAAGCTCGCCTTGGTCTTCTCCTTTGCCTTGACGAGCCTCTCCAACCTAACCACATCGTCGATCTCATCGTACTTCGTGACCTTGGCTCCCGACCTTGGTGCGCTCGTGCCATTGGTACCCTTGTCTCCCGCCGATTGAGATGGGTCCGAGGAGCTGACTGTGGCCCGTAGCGACGCTATCTCCTCGTCGAGCGCTTCGAGCGTTGTTCTTAGATCCCGCAGAGAGACGAGTTTGAGTAATGATTTGATGGACGTCGATGCGGTGAGACCTATGTGCTGGAACCGGATTGGCTGAGGGGCGTCAGCACATTCAAGACATCCTCGCCTCGACGCACTCCAATCATGTCGCCGCCGTACTGTGCAAGTCAGTCAAGACCTCAACCACAAGCAGCAGGAACGAACTCACCCATCGGCAACACACTGTAAGCACATCGACCGCTCGCTCATCCCTCAATGCGCGGAGGACACGCTCGCCACCAAACTTTTCGCCGTCATCGTTGTACGCCTCCAGGAGCTATGCTATCATTAGCGACACAGCGACGACGCTGCGTGGCCGGATACCTGGGGCGTGACCGACGAGATTCTCGCACCTGATAGTCGTTCTCCCCTCCGGTTCCATCTTTCCCTTCCTTCAAGCACAGCGTCCTCACCGCCCACATCCTATGATCCGGTTCTCTCGCTCTCTCTTTCCCCTTCCCAGTGCGTCCCTCTCCATCTTGGAAAGCCCCTTCGTCTCCTCGCATCACCTCCTCCCCGACCAAACCCGGGACGTTCAGCTCCCTGATGATCCGGCGGATCTCCTTGGCGAGGGACGTCTCGGAGGTGATGTGCGCTGGCGGGAGGAAGGAGAGGGAGAAGGCAAGGAAGGTAGAGGTGGAGTCGTGCAGCGCTGGGGAGTGGGTGCTGAGCCGAGGAGCCTCTCCCGGGTGAAGCCATGAGTGAAGGCTTATTGGTGAGGGCCGGGGTCGTTTGGATGGACCCGGCTCAGGTGCCGCGGGATCGTCACCTTGGATCTGCTGAGCTGGTGATACGGAGCGCCGCCGCTTCCTATCATCCTGATTGAGCTGTACGAGCAGTCCTCGGCCCATGATACTGCGAATAGCTATATAACAGACGTTTGTTGTTGTTGTGGAAGAGAAATCAATAAGTCATTGTCGGCTCCAGACGTCACCGCAGCGACTTGGTTGTGGCTCGGCGGTGCCTGACGCCATCTGCCCGCCCGGCTCACAACCTCCGCATGCCAACCCATCCCATCCTTCTCTCTATCTCATCTTCGTTCTCCTTCCACCATCGCGGCCGATCCGACGAGCGTCCGTCGAGCTCCTCCACCATGTCCGCGCCCTCCGGGATCAAGGTCCCGCCCTCGCTCACCTCCGCCTTCGGCTCGGCCCAGAGCAACGGCGACGACGTCCGAGCACTCGTGTTCACCATCGAGGGCGGTGAGTGATTCCGTGTCCCCGTCCGCTCGACAAGCCCTCTTCCAGCCCCATACTCACACTTATCATCCTCAGAGTCATTCACACATCTCACCACGGTCAAGCCCAAGAGCAGCTACAAAGATGACATCTCGCTCCTCCCGTCGACCTTGCCCAGCCCCAAGACCCCGGCGAGCTTCGCGTACCGACTCGATTCCAAGGAGATGGGCAAGTACGAGTGGATGATGATCACCTTTGTCCCGGATGACGCGGGGGTGAGTCGTAGCCTTTGCTTGCGCCGGCGCGGAGCTGACAAGCCATCAGGTGCGGGCAAAGATGCTCCAGGCGTCGTCTAGGGCGGGGCTGCTCAAGTCATTGGGCGCAAACAACTTCAAGCACGACTGGTTCGCGACATCCCTGGTGCGCCATCGTTCTGTTTGACCAGTCAGTCACGTACTATACGCCAGCTGATACCGCCTCCGCAGAACGACCTCACCCCTTCGTCGCTCCACGCACACCTCAACCACCTCGCCTCGCCTCCCCCTCTCAGCGCGTCGGAGGCCGCTCTCGCCGAGGTCCGCGAAGCAGAGGCCGCCGAGGCGAAGCGCGCTGCACTCGACCCGGAGACCGAGGCGCGTCGCAGAGCGGTTGTGACGGGTCTGGGGGGAAAGATGGCTTGGGGCGACGGCGTTGCAGATGCGATGACCAAGGTCGCGGAGAGGAGCGATGATGGCTGGGTGGTCTGTCTGGTGAGTGTTCTAACCAGCCAACTTCCCACGCTCTCTTCTCATCTAAGTGGTTGCAATGATCACACGCTGAATCGAGATCTCAGGAGATCCCGTCTAACAACACCGGGGGGCTATCGTTGCTCAAATCCGAGGCGTGCACTCCCTCCCAGCTGTCCTCCAAACTCCCCTCCAACACGCCCTGCTACACGTTCTACTCCTTCCCTACACCTCCTCCGCCAGCTCCTTCAACTCCACTCGTAAAGCCGACTCCAGCTCCCGCCGCGTCCTCGCGGGACACTTTCCAAGCCTCCGAGGGCGGCAGACGAGCGGTTACCACCACTTGGGCGCCGAAGACCGCAGAGCCCGAAGAGAACGCGGGGGAGCAGACGCCGGGGGAGGGAGCGGAAACCAAGGTCACAGATCTGTCGCTCGATCAACCGGCGGAAAACGCCGAGCCCAAAGAGGAGAGCCCTACTCCTGCTGCGGAGGCTCAACCCGCTGCTCCTCAGCAAAATGTCAAGGGTCGGGTACTGTTCCTGTACACTTGCCCGTCCAGCAGTCCCATCAAGTTCCGCATGGTGTACTCCAGCAGTGTGAGGAGTGTACAGCAAGACGCCAAGGACAAGGCGGGGGTGGACATTGTCGGCAAAGTACGTCCATCGTCCATCGCCCGTCCATTGGCGTGTCTCTCTTGCTGACTCTGGGTCAGATCGAGACGTCTGACATCTCCGACCTGACCGAGTCGCACCTCAAATCTTCTCTGCCGCCGAGCAGGCCGACCCACTCGTCCTCCCTCCCAACGCCCACTTCTGGATCCTTCAACTCTGGCCCTGTAAACCGAGGCGTCTTCGGTGCTCCGGCGTTCAGCAACCCCGCGGCGTTCGGTCGTCCTCGCCCGACCCCAACTGCCAGACCCGTCGTCTCGGCCAGTCAAATCCCTCTGCCCGCCTCCACCGGCCCGTCGACGCCTGTCTCTGCCACGCCTGGCGACGAGGGGGACAGTAAGGAGAACATCCGCAAGGCGTTCGACGCCTTCGGACCGAGAGTCAACGCAGGTGGCGGCGGTGGATTTGCGCGGCCCAGACCGGCGGGCAGGCGATGAGCTGCGAGACAGGACATGCATTGTACAGCTGTATCTAGGTGCTTTCACTACGCAAAGATGGATCTCTCGCACAAACACTGTGGGCATAAGGTGTGTTACGTAACCAGCAGACGCTAGGTGGGCGGTGCCTGGTGTACTGAATTTCTGCCGGGGCGACCAACGACGACCGACGCTTCTCCCGACAGTCGCTCTCACTTCAGTAGAGTCTTTCCTCCCCTGTCTCGACTTC